AATTGAATTTTTACTTAAATTGATTTTTATTTACTTGATGAGCCAATATTTAATTGAACAACTTTTTAAATTTTGTTCTTGCCCATCCTTTTATTTTTAAAATTTTTTAAAATTTTATTTAAAAAAATTTCATTGAGGTATAATTGACTAAATTACTTCTTTTTTAAAAGTTAAGATTCCTTGGGCAATTTATATGATTTACAGAATAGAAGTGTATGCTTAATCTTCTCAAAGCAAGGCATCCGTATTTTGAATATATACACATATTGCATCTGTTTCATCAGTGTCAATCACTCAGGGAATATTTATTTAGCACCTACTGTGTACCTACCACTCTGCCAGGTGCTGGAGAAGGTGTGTGTGTGTGTGTGTGTGTGTGCACATGCAAACACGCATATAGATACACACAAAAAGAATTAAAATAAGAATTTGTAACAAGAAACTTATTGAAATAATAAAAATTTTTTGGTCTTCCAGCAGTCTGTTGGTCCTTGGGAAGCTAACTACATATGGAACTAAGCTCTCCTGAGCGCTGTTAGCAACACAGTCTATCCTTAATCTCAGTCTTTTAGTCTAGCCCAGACATTTACACTTGATTGCCATATTCACATTCAATTCCATAGCTGGATAGTCCAATATATTCATTTTAAAGTCCACTCTGCAACTTCAAAGTCTATGACAGATTGGGATCATTGTTCCAAGCAGAAAAATACATGTTCAGATCTTTAAACTTTTTACTGCAACTTGTCGGCTGCATAGGAAAATTAAGGATAGATGAACTAAAGACACCTGATGGAGAACGTGTCCATGCAGTTTAGCAACCACTTTTCTGTGAGTCCAGGATCATATGCTTCTGGAAATCCTTCAATAGTTAAGCAATACCAAGAAATTGGCCCCCTCAAGCAATAAATTACTTTGGTATTCTCCACAACACAACAACAAACTGGCTGTCAAGTTTGGCAAACCTTTGAAAAGAGGTGGGCCTCCTCTCTGAACTCTGAATGGAAACATTATTTTTCCTCCACTAGAAGAGCCATCATCACTCTTTCACCATAAGGAAGGTCACACCATCTTTCACAAAAGATTTGCCTGCTTGTAATTACTGCCTGCAGCGTACAGACAAATGCAGTCTTTTAAAATGCTAACTGTGTTATACTTATACCCGAGGGATCCGGGGTACAAATGTAATGCGGCCTCACCAGTTTGTCTTAGGGAGATCTTACAGTGCTGATTGAAAACAGCTGAACTAAATCAACAGTTACCTTGAGCCAGGGGCCTTTGGAGAGCAATTAGAGTCAAGGCTTGGGTTTTGAACCCAATATGCTCTGTCAGTCTCAATGATTTGTGTTTGTTGTACTCAGTCTCATTTCCTGCATGAAATATGAGGCTGTAGAAAGAGGAAAAATTCCCAAGATTAAAAAATATTTGACCTCAGTGCATTTGTGAGCATAGAAGTACACATGTCTAAATGACCATTTGGGTTTGTAGTACAAAGTTCTATTGATGTTGGCAGCCTGAGCTTCCCAGTCTCAAAGCCACATGAATGGTTTCGAGTTTCAGCCAAAAAATGTTTTCCACATGCTTTAGTGTGGGCCAATTTACGCAGTAGATTTTGTGGAGACTGTGGCCAAGCGCTTCATAAAGGGCTGCCTTCTCTGGGATCAGGGAAACCACAACAGACACATTGCTAATGCAACCTAATTATCTGCTTGAACATTTTTCCAGATGTATCCAATGGCTAAAAATACTGCAATAAAAAAGGTATTATTTGGCTCTCTTGACTGAAACAGTGGCATAAAGAACCTGTTTGTCTGGAGGGAAAGTTATGACATTATACTTCTATGACTGCATTTAAATCAGTCAAACAAAACAGTACCCACAGGGTGGGGCTTGCTTTCTGTTTGAATGAGTCTTCCAAACCGAGACCTTAGGATAAGAGATCATTCCTTTATATAAAGGGGTGACCCTCTCACTTATAAGTTAATTCCTCTCATTTGTGGTTTCCTAACTTGATTGAAGTTGGTGAGTGTAATTCATGACAAAGAGATCCCATGCTTTTTCCACTAAGCTCATTGCACGGCTTACCCACCAGGACAGCAGACCATTTCCCTCCTGTCAGGAGAAAAAAAAATCTTTTGACTAATAAGTTGAGAGTTTTACCCTGTCCCCATAGAAAAACTGGCTGTTCTGAAGGTCTTAATGTTTCCCTTTTGTTTTCCTTCGGCAGAATTTATTTTTGTATAGCAAACCCCATACTTCAGCCTAGTTTCCTTTGTGTCATTTGGATCCCAGCTAGTCCAGCAGATACATGATGTTATGCCAGGTTATTGTTCAAGTTGTTGGCAACCATGCTCATTCCTAACACAGCCAACTGCCTGGGAGAACACAAGCACATTCAGTAGGAATGTTTGGTACTAAATTGAGAGGTCAGTTTTACCAACCTGTGTCTTTCCGTACCCTTGTTTGAACAAAGGCTTTAAAATGAGCTATAAGATTCCAAATAAATAATCAAGGCTAGACAAAACACACACATTTTCCTAAGAAGCTGAAAAACTTATGAAAAGCTTTTATTTTTGTCCTTCTTTTCAAGCCTCCTTTTAGCAACAAGGGTCGGAGAGGAGGTGTATTCTGCGTTACACCTTCCAGGAAGTAATAAATCAGAGGCAAGGCATACCTTCGTGGCTTTGCCTGGTCTCAATCACAGCTACAAAACTATGTGCCAGCTTCTCCAATTCCTGTACTGCACCACTGGGTGAGCAGAGATATCCAACATGGAGATAACTTTAAATAGTTATGCACTGAAGTTGTGGCCGAAACTGTAGAAGAAAGCAGAGTGCCAAGAACTTCTGTGAGATAAAGATGAGCAAGCAAGTCCCCCCAGGCTGGTTCATTCCATTTTCCTTAATTGAGCTATTCTCCTTGCAATGAGAGTTCTCACTGATTGATTTGACTCTGTTGTTTCTTGTGAAATCTCGAAATCATATCTTCATTCACTCCACTGTTGTGTTTTTTTTCCCCTTAGCTGAGATATGGTTTCAGAATCTGTTCATAGTTCCCTAAAAGATGTCCTTAGGAAATGAGGTCACTTGGGTTTTCCAAGTAAACAGTTTCATTCCTCTGGCAATCCTTTTTTGCTATATGAACCCCCCCCCCCAATAACAAGGTATGATTATCCTATTTCCATTATCCATTTCCACATCATCAGGATGTTCTCAGGGAAGTGGGGGTGGGCAAGAGATGGAATGAGAGGCTAGTCACTTTGGCAAATAGAGAATATTTTATTTAAAAGTGGATTGTGTTTCAAATGTGTATTTGTAATTCAGTTGTTTGAAACTCAGTTTGTGCCTTCTTATACAAGGAATGTTATAAATGGGTTCTCACAAAGACTCTTTAACCCATAACGAAGCCTATAATGTATTTAAAGTATTGTATTAGGAAAAAAGGTCTTGATCTTGTGAAAAATTAAAGAAAACAATTTAGGTGATACAAATGAACTTTAACACTTCAGCAAGTGGATAGTCGCAGAGAACTGCAAAATGGGGTGAAAGGTAAGAAGCTTTTATAGGAAAAGGAATAAGGAACAAAGAGAGACAAATAGAAAATAGCTGATTGGCTGAGGCCACATTAGTCATTGTTTGGGGTGAGAAGGCCCAGAGTTGGCTTGGGATTTGGGGATTGGCTGACTGGATATACTGTATTTCTGGTCAAGAGGAGGATTTACAGGGATATGAAAGTTATCTAAGTTCCAGTTTGCTGATGTGGCACTCCGGGCAGGAGCCGCTAGATCTCTGGTCTAGAAAGTTATTTCAGCAGTTTCAAGATGGAAACTATGTCCCATTTATATGGGAGTCCAGGGACATAAGGCCAAAGAGTAAAGGAATAAGAAGGGAAAAAAAAAAAATAAAGAGTTTCTTCCTGTATTACTGGTAGGGTATCCCAAGCAACATATTGGAAGAGACAAAAGTTGATTTGTCACCCTCTTCCGGAAACTCATCTATAATTTTTCTCTTACTTTCTCACAATCATTTTTCAGGTCCTGGTTATTTCATGTTTCCCTAGACTTTTTAAAATTGTGAAACCCTCCTTTCCTCTTGTCTCACATGTAGAACCAGTTATATACAGTCCTTCACTCACCTTCATCCAAACATCTTGGTATCATCAGAAGGAAAGCCTAGTGATCAAAATAATTTGTGCTGGGGGGGGGGAGGATCAAGATTGCAGAGTATGAGGATGTGGAGCTCATCTCCCCCCATAATCACATCAAAAATACATCTACATGTGGAACAATTCTCACTGGAAGCTGGCAGAAGGACTCTGGTGCAACAGCTCTGTAATAAAAATATATATGTCATTGGGTAGGAAGACAAGAAAAGCGATCAGGTAGGGACATGTGTCCCTGGGAGGTGACTCAGAGGAAAAGGGAGAATACAAGGGCAGACACACGCCCTGGGGTGTGAGTGGTGAGAGCCACAGGTTGGACACCCCAGTCCTGGGGTCCTATGCAGGGGAGATGAGCCAGAGTCCCCTTGGCTGGTTGGAGGACTGCTGGGACTAATGGGTGGGTGAGGGGGAAGCCTGGACTCTGTTTGTAAGAAGCGCACACATGCTAGCTTGCCCCCAGGCTAAATAGGAACAGACTCACAGATATAAAAAACAAACTAGTGGTTACCAGTGGGGAGAGGGAAGGCAGAAGGGGCAAGATAAGGGTAAGGGATTAAGAGATACAAAATACTGTGTGTAAAATGGGTAAGCAACAAGGATAAATTGGAGAGCACAAGGAATTATAGCCATTGTCTTGTAATAACTTAATGGAGTATAATTTGTAAAAATACTGAATCATTATGCTGTACACCTGAAACAAATATTGTATATCCACTATACTTCGATATGTAAAAAAAATTGTGCTGAGGTATGAGTAACCTCTTAATCATCTCAGGCTATTTGCATTTTTAAGAAGCATGCAAATTAATCTGAAATGATCTTTAATTTGCTCCTTTCAGGCAATGTGATAAAACTGAAAGAAATTCAACAACCTGGGGTAAACAACATTTGGTATCTGGATCCCAACTCAGAGGCAGGCCTGCCCAGCTCGCAGCTTTGCTCTTGAGGTAAGTGTTCTGACTTTTCACATACGATTCTCTCCCTAAAACTCCGCATTGCTGAGAAGGGATTTTTTAGGAAAGCTGTTCTCATCACTAACTTCCTTCGTCTGACAGTGTCATCAGCACATAGGGTGGCTGTAAGCCCAAGACTGACTGTAGCGGAAAATAAGGTGGAGCTTTAAGATCTAAATTTCAGTCCTAGAAAATGCTATCCATAACCTTCATCAATATTTTGGGCAAATAGAGCCACCATACATTTTTTTTTTTTTAATTTGTCATAGAACAAGCTAAGAAATAAAGCACTTTGAACTGAATTGCTAGGAGATACTTCCTTGGGTCCCCAAATTGGCTATTTTGGTTTTGAGAGTTTTGGTTTTGGTTTTCATGGTTTTAAAGATCATAACATGATATGAAGCAGTGTTTCTCAAAGTGTAGTCCATAAATCATTTGTGTCCTCTGGTGGTCTTTCAGCAAATTGTTTAGAGACTTCAGAGGAAAAAGAAATTTTAAAAAACTTCGTTCACAAATATTTAACAAATGTAAAATGTAAGATTAAATATAATTCTCACTGAGGCATATTATATTCTTAACAGTCATTAGCAACCTAAAGGTAGCCCACCCGTTGCAAGGACTCTGATGGTTAGGCCTTAGCTTCCCATCAGTTAATTGGATGCAACGTGTTTAGGTTAAATTTTTTTCACATTATTAGCATGTTACTGTTCACATTTGTTACATTTGCCTTTTTAAAAATTGTTACTATTGGGGTTTATTATTAAATTTCTAATTTTATTAAAGAAGCAATCACATAAAAGTAGTTTATGCAAATATAAAGATGTTATAAAAGTAGAGGCAGAAATACAACACCGCCATAATCATCTTTAGTGACCAGGTTTCAGAGTGAATGTAGAATGTGATTACATATGTGCCAAGACAAGGGAAAAGCAGCTAGAAGCAGCTAGATATAAAAAGTAAAAAAAGAAATCCAAAAATAAACAATGGAAAGTTTTATTTAAGAAGACTAGCAATCATTGAACCGTGCTGTGTAGTAAATTGCTTCTTATAAGACTTGGTTAAATAGTGGCATGAAGCCATCAAATCTTTGCATGTAAGTACTATGTATCTCTCTGGTTTTAAAAATGATTGTTTTCCTATAGAAATATTTTCTAGTTTTAAATTGCTGGATTTTGTCACTAAAGAAAATGGGGATATCAAAACTACAGTGGTGTAATTCAGAAGTTGTATTCCTTGTAGCAAAACCAGGTATAGGTGCAAGTCATACTTTTTCAAGGCAGCTGGTAAAACTAGCTGAAAATTAATAACAAATAATGAGTTCAAAGAGAAAGCATAAGTATTGGTAAAACTTCCCTATCATATGACAGTTGTATATGATGGAACATTAATGGCATATACTCTTTGTGGTCTAAGAGACATCGGCTTTTCAGTTGGCAAAACTATAAGGTATGAATCAGGGCTTGGTTCATGTATGACATGTACAGAGAGGAGAAGTGCTTGATGATTTTTTTGTTGTTATGGGTTTTTTGGTTTGTTTCTGTTTTTTAACAGTTCACTTGAGCACGGTTTATTTTCTAAATTTTAATATCGTATTTTTCACATTGCCCATCAGTTTTCACAGTTGCAACCTCGAAATTAAGCTCCCTCTGCATTGCCCTCTGAGCCACCAAGCCTTTTTGTTCTGTTAATCATTCAAATCCATACTAGAGGAGATTATTAGTCTGTCATTGGTATTTTTCTGAACCATGATGTACATTGGGAAAAGAGTATTGGTACTGTTGCTAATAAGGCATCATGGTTGGCTCATGTTGGTTCTGTGTTCGTTCTTCGTGGTTCTGTGTTGAAAGAAATGCAGAAATTTGCGGGTATAATCAGATGGTGGTATATGTCTTTTTGGCTTAGTCTGGGAAATTAGATTCTTCTTTTCCACACTGAAGTATGTATGCTGATTCCCAAGAGGGAATTTTCATAACTTTTAGAATGATGAAATGTAACACACATAGAGAAAGGTGTATAGAACCTAAATGTACAATGAATCATTAGAAAGTGAACACCCTTTTAACTACCATCTAAGTAAAGAAATAGAACCTTGCCGACATTGAAGAAGCACCTCCTTGCCCCTGGGTATCCCTTCTCAATCACATTTCCTGTATCCCTTTTAGATTAAAAAACACTATCTTGATATGTATGATAAATTTTTTTTATAAATTTATTTATTTATTTTTGGCTGCATTGGGTCTTCATTGCTGTGCGTGGGCTTTCTCTAGTTGCGACGAGCGGGGGCTACTCTTCGTTGCAGTGTGTGGGCTTCTCATTGCGGTGGCTTCTCATTGTGGGCTTCTCTTGCAGAGCATGGGCTCTAGGCATGTGGGATTCAGTAGTTGTGGCATGTGGGCTCAGTAGTTGTGGCTTGCGGGCTCTAGAGCGCAGGCTCAGTAGTTGTGGCACCTGGGCTTACTTGCTCCGTGGCATGTGGGATCTTCCCGGACCAGGGCTCGAACCCATGTCCCCTGCATTGGCAGGCAGATTCTTAACCACTGTGCCACCAGAGAAGCCCCTGTATGATAATTCTTTCCATGATATTCCTTGATTTTTATTGCTTTTGTATGTAGCCCTAAATAAAATGGCTAATATTGACTGGTTTTAAACTTTACATAAATGCATTATTTTAAAAAATTTCTTTCAATTACCAATTTGTTTGTAAGATTCAGTCAGCTTGTTGTTCATAGCTCTAGTTTAATTGTGATACAAAATTCCACAATTAAACTAGAGCTATGTACAACTTTAATTGTGATACAAAATTACATTATATTAACAACCACAATTTACTTATCCATCCTAACATCCTTATTTCCTGATGGTTGTTAAAGATGTTTTCAGCTATTGCAAAAATTGCTGCCATGAACTTTCTTTTACATGTTTCCTGACACACAGGTGAATGTCTTTCTCTAGGCATATACCCAGGAATGTAATGTTTGGTATTGTTTGGTCATAAGATATTGTTTTCTCAATATGGGTGTTTGCATAAGAACAATGCTTTTTTTAAGTGCTTGAGCCAATTTTCACTCATGTTGGCTCAAGGCATTTTGTGACCACTAATCAGTACTTGAACAGGGCAAAAAGCTGAGAAGGTAAGTATAAAATAACTATTAAGCTAATCAGAGATTATCACAGCTTCAGTATTTTCTAAAGAGGAGGAGCCCTAATAAACACCCTAGGATATTAGTGGAGAACCCTGGAAGCTTACTCCCTTAGGAATAATAGCAAACCAGAAATAGACTAATCTTTACTGAATCAAGGCATATATCTATATTCTGTATGCCTGAGAGAAGAAATCCAAACCCTCTCTGGAGGAGGTAACATCACCCAACAAAACTAAGTAATTCATACATATCATGTAGCCTTCATTCAAAAATCACCAGACATGCCAAGAAACATAACCAAATCTACAAAAATCAAGAAAAGTAGAAACACATCCAAAAATGAACAGAAGTGATCTGGTTATTGAAACTAACAGATATGAACTTTAAAATAATTGTGACTCATGTGCTCAAGAATAAGGGGGTGGGGCAGGTAGATAATTCCACAGTAAATTAAGAAACTATAAAAGTAATGAAATAGAAATTTTTATAATTAATACATTTAATAGCAGATTAGACAAATAGAAAAAATTAACGAGCTAGCAATAGGTTAGTAAAAAATATCTAGACTGAAACAAAAAGAGAGAGAGAAGAAAAGATGCTTTAAAAAGCATAGGAGATATATGGGGCACAGTGAAAAGACTGAACTTATGTGTAATTGGAGTCCAGAAACAAAAGTGAGACAGAATGGGAGGGAAACTTTTTTAAAAGATCATGGGCTAGAATTATCCAAAATTATAGAAAGGCCTACTTATTCAAGAATATCTATAAATCAAAGGCAGGGCAAAATCAGAGAACATCACACTTAGACATATCAAAATAAATCTGCTGAAAGACAAAAATAAAAATCAAATCCTAAAAGTATCCATAGAATAAAAAGATACATTATCTTCAAAGGGACATTAAACTGATGGTTGAATTTTCAGTAATGTGGTTTCTTTCTTAAGTGTTTATAAGAATTCACCAAAGGATATATCAAGGCATGAGATATTCTTTGTGAGAAAGCTTTAAATTTATATTAAATTTATTATAGACATAAGAAAAATAGATTATCTGTTCCTTCTGTCGATTTTGATAGTTAATATTTAAAAAGGAATTTGTTCATTTCTTCTAAATTTTAACATGATTACCATAACATTTAAAGTCATATACATAATGTAGAAATAAAACTGCCATTATTTGTAGACAACATGATTGTAATCATAGAAAATTATCAAAATAATCTATATATAAAGCACTGGAATTAATAAATAAATTTAGTAAGGTAATTGGCCACAAGATCATTATATAAAAATCAATTATACTAACAACAAAAAAGAATTTTTTAATGAAATTTTTAAATGATATCATTTACTCTAACAGCAAAACATAAATTATTTAGGAAAAATATATGCAGAAAGTTGTATAAGACCTCTAAAAATAAAAACCCTAGAAAACATTGCTATGAGAAATTAAAGCCTAAACAAATGGAGGCTATATCATGTTCATAGATTGGAAGACTCAAAGTTGAAGAATGTTAACTTTATAGACTCAATAAATTATAATCAATGTACAGACAATCCAATGGAAGGGGTGGTGGAAACTGATATACTGATTTTTGAACAATTTTGGCAGAATAAGAACAAAATGAGAGTACTTATATTCCCAAATATAAAGCCGCCTTATAAAGTTAACTAAAATAGACTGGTATTGGTGTGGGAATAGACAAACAAATAGAACATAGCAGAGGAACCCGAGAGAGAACCTATGTTTAAAGTCACCAAATTCATCATTGCAATGCAGTGAGGAAAGAATGCTTTTTCTAGTAAATGGTGTTGGATCCGTTGAATATCCATAGAGATTTTTTAAAAGAAC